GTGTAGATCTAAATTCTTTTATAGAAAAATTGTCTAAGTGTCTAACCTCTATTGATGATCCATGCAGTCCAAGCACCCACAAAGAAGGGCTCAAAATTGATAGAGTTCTAGCTCCACCTTTTTGAATTTATATAGTATTTCTTTTAGAAATCTAATCCGAGCAATTTTACGACAATCTTAAAGAGAGGGAGAGAAAGTGGCATGCTAGGGGTTTTTGGGAAAAAAACTATTTTTTTCCTCTTTTTTTCTTGGTCGTGTGCCCTAACTCCTTTTCTTTGTTAGCCAAATTCTCTCTCTTTTTTCTTATGTGTGCCATATCTCTCTTTCTCATATATTTATCGGAGAGACTTCCTTGTCATCTAAAGATAACGAGGGGTGACAATGAGTCCCTTAAAGACTCTAGGTTATTGCTTGAAGGATTATGAGTTATTTTATATATGCGTTTTTGGATCTTTATCCTTAAAACCTTCATCATTATTTAATAAGATTGATGTTTATCCTCCCATCAAAATATCTTAATGATTTTAATTAAACCTATTGGGCCAAAACCGTTATGGCCCCAATTAATTTATTTGAACTATCCAAATAAATAATCTTAGATAATGTTTGACGACCCACATTAGGAAATAATTTTCCAAAATATCATTTAACCTAAATTAGGAAACGCATTTCCATTTTAGGCTATTTACTTCAAAAGTTGGAATCAACTTCCAAATTAGGAAACTGATTTCTAAAATAGGAAACTTTTCATTTTAGGAAACTTTCATTTAAGGAAACTTTCCATTTTGGAAACCTTTTCCAAAATTAAAAACTTTCAAAATTGAACATTTTTTCCAATGACTTTGCTTCTCTTTAATCATGTGAATACTTAAACTTATGCGTTTGACTCAATAGGCTTCTAGATATGTTGGTAATGTTTCAAAAATAAAAGACTACTTTTTTATCTGTTGATACATAATTCAATATTGGCATCTAGCAAGGCATCATGACTACCCAATTCTCTAGAATGATTAATTAATCCATTAATACCTTTCACGAACATGGTTGCCATACAATTCAAATCTCATGTCAACTTATCACTATATGATCTTTAACTTGGTTATAAGTCCTGTTCGATTATGATCACATAAGTTTTCTTCGATTCCTAACTGTCTTAGCTCTTAGAGTAAACCAACTATACTTTATTGATGTACTCCTATCGTGGCGATAGATTTCTCAAACGAACACTCATTGACGTGTAATATGATAACTCATTTATCATATAAGGAATGACATGTCATATCTTATTCACACACCTACCTCCATTAGATTACTAGTGTTCCCAATGAATCACCCACATGGAACCCTTTACTAGGTCCATCGAAACGAGTGTCAAAGTGTATAAATGTTCTAATGAGATAACCATGATGACTTTAAGTCTAAGAAAATATTATACCCATCTTGTATGAGATTCCCATAGAATAAACCAAACGGGTTCTCATTGTGAGTCAAGTTTAGTGATATGTTTTCTAACATAAATACCTAAGTGTTTGTTTTAGCATCATCATGCTAATAGGTATGAGATCTCCTACTATTATTATATAGTATAAGCATCTCACTCATAAGTCTATCTCGCATATAGTCAATATTCATTGTTGATAATGCTATGACTTGGGATGTTTAATGATATCATTTACATACATTAATGTTTATCTCACATCTTTCGATCAATCACTATTGCAAATGCATATTATAAGGATTTCTATCTAATTCTATTGAATTAATAAACATTAAACATAAGAATTAATAGAAAGTCTTCTTTATTATTATTAAAAATAAATGATGTAATAATATAATAACTCAAACCCATCCAAACATGGTTGGATCTCGGGCACCTATACTAATATAGTGATGATGCCCTTCTAAAGGTCAATTTTGATTTAGGTATCAAGAGATAAAAAAGATATCTTTTATTCTTGATACATTGTCAACATACCTAAGAGCTCGTTGAGTCACACGTATAAGTCAAAGTATTCATATAATAAAAGAGAAACAAAGATGTTGAAAAAAATTTCAATTTTGAAAGCTTCCTATTTTAGCAAAAAAGGCTTTTGAAAAATGAAAAGTTTTTTAAAATGGAAAGTTTCCTATTATAGAAATCAATTTTCTAATTTAGAAGTCAATTCTAAACTTGGGAGTAAATTACTTAAAAATAAAAATTAGTTTCCTAATTTAGGTTTATGGGTAATTTGAAAAATTATTTTCTAATGTGAGTGTTCTAAAAATACATGACCTAATTTATTTAGATAGTCCAAATTAATTAATAATTAATTATTCATAAATTAATTAGTAATTAATTATTCAAATTAATTAGTAATTAATTGAGCCAATAGATTTAATTAAAAATCCTGTAAGGTATTTTGGTGGAAAGATAAACATGAACCTTATTGGATAAGGTTGAATGTTTAAAAGGATAATATCAAAAAACCCACATGCATAATAACTCATAATCCTTAGAGGATTAGGATGCAACAACCAAGAGTCCTTTAGGGACTCATTGCCACTCCCTTTTTGTCCTTAAAGGACAAGGAATGCACTTCTTTATATAAATAGAAGGAGAAAATGCAGTAAAGTAAAATAGAAGAGAGAAAACACATAACAAAAAATAATAATTAGGGCTACATAACAACATATAGCCTAGAGATAAAATAGTTTTCTCTCCCTAAAAATTATGCAACCTCTCTTCTTCTCTTAGGGTTGTCGCATAAATTACCCTAAATAGATTTCTAGAAAGAAAAACACAAAACAAGTAAAAAAAGATGAAGCTAGCACTTAACTAATTTTGAATGCTTCTTTTGTTGGTGCTTGAACTCGTGTGAATTATCAATAGAGGCCGAATGCTTGGATGACTACTCTTCTACAAAGGTTTGATTCTACACAATAAGAGATAATACTTTATTTATGCTTTAATTCATATTATATATATGTTTAGTTGATTCAACGACATAATCTTGGAAACTTTAGACGGAAAATTTTTTTTGTTTTATTCCGCACCCCCATAGGATACATGATCATTCAATTGGTATCGAGCCTCCGTTGAATCTTTGATTACATGTTTTGTTAATTATTATTTAACTACATGAATTAGCAATTTTAGATTATAAATCTTATTTTTTAATATTTTATATATGTTTAATATTGAAATTTGGGTGTTGGCGCTTGCGCACACGAGCAAGAAAGTCTGGCTGGTCACATGCCGGGCATGATAGGCCATGCATGCCTAACACATGCTAGCCTTTCGAGCGACCCAATCGTGTGCCTTTTGGTAGGGACATAGGTGTTAGGCGTGCGATAGGCCGATCACGCACTAGGCATGTGACAAGCCAAGCCTCCCGGCCAGCCGTACCGTGCTACTCGCCGATAGGCCAAAGCCCTACCAAGTAGTCACGCGCTAGGCACACGATAGGCCTAAAGTGCCTCCCGCACTCAAGGCCTTCGATAGAAGCCAATCACACGTAAGGCGCATGATGTGCCAAGCTTGCTAGGTAGGTCGAGCCGTGGGTCGGGTGTGCGACATGACAATCATGTGTTAGGTGCACACAAAGCCTAAGGTAAGGCCACGATGTGCCTAGTGAATGTCGGGGGCATGCTGAGCACACAAATAGGCAAGGCTGCAGGTGTGCTAGGCATGCACGTGCATTAAGCGATAGTGGCAAACCCACGTATGTGCTAAAAGCGCACGTGGTAGGCCATAGGCCATGGGTAGGCAAGCACGCTCGAGTGCACCAAGCCTAAGGCCGGCGCAAGGCCAAGCACACGGAAGTAAACCAAGGTAGAGGCTTAGGCATGGAAGCCTGTGGGCCTTCGAGGCCTAAAAGTCCATGGGCCCAAAGTGAGCACAAAACCTAAAAAGTTTTAAAATTGAAATTTAGAGAAATTTTGATAATTTTATAAAATGATCAAAAGATAGATTTATAATTGAAAGTTAAATGAAATCTTTTTCGGTAGTATGCCATGTATTAATGTGATTATGAAGGATCATGCATCGTATGGAAGTGCAAAATAATAATAATAATAATAAAAATTCTCTATTTAAAGGGTCTAAGATCATGCTATTGAATCAACTAATCATATATTTATAAATTAAGGAATAAATAAAGAATTACCTCTTGTAGCGCAAAATTAAATTATTTAACAAAAAAATGAGTCATCCAAGCATACGGCTTCTACCGATAATCAATGCAATCCAAGTACCACACAAGAAGTACTTAAAATTAGTAAAGTGTTAGCTCTACCTTTTCTATCTTTATTTAGTGTTTTTCTTTAGAAATCAAATTAAGGTAATTTTGCAATAATCCTAAGAGAGAAAGTGAAAGTGGCATGTGCTAGGATTTTGTAAAGAAAACTATTTTTTTCTTTATTTTTACTCAATGCTATGTGTCTTATTTTTTCTTTTATAGTCATCTCTCTCGTCTCTCTCTTAATCTTATATGTATGCCATACCTCTCTCCCATATATATAGGAGAGAGGCTTTCTTTTCCTCCATGAACAATGAAGAAGCAACAATGTATGTAACCACAAGGTGGTGGCCTATTGGTAAGTAAGCATCGATTTATAAATCAAATTTAGGATTTGATCCTTATGATCATCATTCTTGAGAATTTATTCTTAAAATAACCAATGTTATTTGTTAAGAAATGTTTCTTAATCATGTCTAGAAAAAATAAGTTTTGAACTATATAAAAATTGGATAAAAAATATCCAAAATGCTAAACCTATAAAAAGTTTTCTTAGGTATGTGAGCTATACATACTACTGTTGTATAAAATTGTAGCAGTTTTAAGATCGAGATGGAAAATTTAATTGAGATTGGGTTTTCGCTTTAACCGCCTATGATCGCTCTAGATACCCTTTTTGTGTGAACCATATACTACCACAAACTTTAAATACAATAAAATATTAAAGTAGCAAAGATAAATGTATAGAATATTATAGTTACAATTAAAAAAACAAATATATCTCTACCGCGGAACCGGGTCGGTGTAACGCTTGAACCTCCAAGACACCACGTGTGGCGGTGTCCTTGTGGTTTGGGCAGAACATGGTGTGCTAGCTTCACTAGCTTTGCGCTTTTGACCAGTCAACTTTGAAGTCCTCCTGATCCCCTCATTAATTTGGCAGTTTCTCAAACAGTAGAAATTACTATTCGACTGCTGTTGAGCCCCAAATTGGCTTATTAACTGATTTTAAAAGATATATCAAAACACAAAGATGTACAATATATATGGTTGTTGTATATCTGATAATTTTCTTTATTAAAATAAATTTAATTCTTAATAATTCGAATTAATTTGATTATTATGAAAAAAATACTTTCTATTGTATAACTCAAAACCAAATAAACTTCTCAATAAAAAGAAAAAATATTAATCAAAACTTTTTCACAAATACAAAATATTTATCGACATTTTCCAATTAAAAGAAACTAATTGTCCACCAAAAGAGTACCTGTAGTAGTAATTGTATGATCTAACATTTATTTTTAAGAATCAAAGTTTCGTTTTCTCTTTAATATAAGACCACAAAATTACATCAGAAGTAATAGGAAAATATGGACTCTACAAAATGAGAGATAATAAAAATTTTATCGACTTTATGTTACTAATTGATTTGTGATTAGTGAATTTTTTTATTCTATAATTTTATTCATGACATTTGCTAATATTCAAATAAGACATTCATATTCAAACTGGTTTGTGGAAAAAAAAAACAAACAAACAAAAACAAATACTTTCTTTCAGTTCTTTATAATTCAAATATGAATGATGGCAGGTTCCTTCATAAACTTCCTCAAATCTTCTAGAATAGTAATCATGTAATTCATTATGAAATAACCATATAATCATAATTAGTAAAAGGAAAGAATTTCCTAAAAAAAAAGAAATTAAAATAATCTAGACTACTTAGCTTGAATCACAAATCTGGGACTTCATGACCTGCCTTGCTATAAAATCAAGTCAAATTGATTTTTTTTTTTTTCCCCGTTCTTGAAGGTCTATGGTGCGTGCACTATAAAATAACTTAATTTTTAATTCTTTTTATCCGATCAAACAAGTTTTAAGTCCAACTTAACCTTTTGTGGCTAAATTAATTAGTTTTATAAGCGTGAAATGATTATGCTTTTTGTTTTAAATAAATATCAATCATCTTAAATTACTCTGCATGGTTCTACCATTGATAAATAAAAATAAAAATTGATAATAAAAGAAAATTATGTCAATGAGATATTTAAATGAAGAATAGTTTTTTTAAATATTTTAAATTTTTATTAAAACTTCCTTTAACTTCTCATATATATATATATATATATCGAGAAGTAGTTTGTTCTCATTACATACATAATCAAAAAGACTTAACGTTACAAAAATTAGAATTTTATTTTACTAAAAAAGCTAATTCGATATATCACCACTAAACTAATTAAGGCTGCTTAATATATATATATATATATATATATATATATATATATATATCATTTACCATTAATTATTAATTATTGATTAAAATAACAAACAAATATAGGACTATATATAGCGGTACATTAGATGAAAATAAATCCTGGTAGGTTTGGTGAAATTAAAACAGAATTAAGAATAATAATTATTGGGAGGATAATAAAATAAGATGGTATAGCGTGGTGGGACTGACACACACTCGCTGGCTAGCTCCGAAGCAAGAGAGAGGGCGAGATTCGAGTTGAGATCAAACTCCGACCTGGGAACACACACAAAGGAAGACAGTATGGCGTATCTCTAGAAACTTGATTCTTTCACTTTCACACACACACACACACAACTCTCTCTCTCTCTTTCTTCAAAAACCCTATTTAAATGCAAGCTTAGCCCACTGCTTTCTCCCATGCACTAATTTGTTTTCTCCACCACCTCCAACACCACTACTTGTGATCTTATCTGTGTTCTCTCTATCTTTCTTCGTTTTTCTCTTTCCACTTCACTTTTTTCCATAACTTGTAGTCTATCTCTTCACTCTTGACTACTCTTTCTCTATGAATAATTTCTCACAAGTCCTAATTCCTTCTTTTTAAGTTACTTTCTTTCTTGGTACCCAGCTAGCTATATATACATATACTTTTTACTTTGTTCCCTCATCACAAGCTTGATTATATATAAACTACTATTGCTTCTCTAATTATACATATATAAATTTATCCTTTGTATCTTAATTTGAGCTGCTACCTAGCTAGAGCTTGTTTATAAGTGAATATCAATTTCAATAAGATGTCTAGCCGAAGGTCACGATCAAGGCAATCAGGTAGTTCAAGAATCAGTGATGATCAGATCCTTGATCTTGTTACGAAGTTGCAACAACTTCTTCCTGAGATTCGCAATAGGCGTTCTGACAAGGTAGAGTAAAAATAAATAAATAAATAAATACTTTTCTACTTATCACTTTATTTTATAATTAGCTATGTACTATATTTACAGCTAAATTCTTACAAATTGTAGGAGCTTTAAGGTGATTTTTTATCTCTATTCATTGGCAATGGTTGTTCTCAAACTACAATTAAACCAAGAAAAAAGAAAGAAGCGATGTTCATGGTTTAAGAACGAAAAACTATCAGCGACTACCCATCATATATACTCATCATTTTCCACGCTATACCATCCTATATACTCATCATTTTCCTTCAAGAAACATAAGGGTTATAAGTGGAGATTTGGTTGTGGAGTTTTATATATATATATATATATATATATATATATATATATATATATTTGTTGGTGTCAGTAGATATACTGGCAAATGTTCAACGGTAAGGTTTGCTTTTGTTCGACTTGCTTCTAATAAACATTTTAAATTCTACATGTTATGTTGTTCACTCTACTTTCAAACTACTGTTGAGACCTTTTGTATATGTTTGTGCTTAATTTCCTAGCTTTTAACTTAAATTGGATTTTTTCTTAAAAAAATTCTTTGTAGGTTTCAGCTGCCAAGGTCTTGCAGGAGACATGCAACTATATTAAAAGCTTGCATAGAGAGGTTGATGATCTTAGCGAGCGGCTGTCCGAGCTGTTGGAAACAACTGACACTGCCCAAGCTGCAATAATTAGGAACTTACTGATGCAATAGGGCTAATTAAGGACTATCATTTGTTGCCTTTTGCAGTAGAATGATCATGTTTTTTTTTAAAAAAAAAAAAAAAATCTCTCTTCCTTTGTTCTTCTTCAACTTTTGATTTCTGGATTTTAGCACTAGAATTAATCTGTAGTAGTCCTTTTTTAGAGATTAGAAAATCCTTTCGCAAAGCTATGTCAAGGAATATAATGATAATAATAATAATAGTAATAAAACTTGCTCTATATATATTGGTAAAGGCTACTATTATATTTGCTGCCAAATGAACTGATCAATTTCGGCACCAAAGCATACATGACACTTTTGATTATAACAAATCATTTCCTTAGTTTTACTAAAACACCGTATGGCACGTTCTTTGCTCGACTGGATCTACTAATTAATGCTTCCATGTTAAAGACCATGTATATATATATATATATATATATATATATATATATAGACCTAATTGTTAATCCCCTCTTTCCAAAAAATAAATAAATAAAGGGAGAAGGAGCAAGCTTCTTGGAATCCTTACATATTTTGACTTTTAATGAATTAAGGTTAGATCTAGAGTAGGTAACAAAAGCAAACAATATTTTTAAACAGCAATACAGTACTTAGAGAACTGATGAAATTTAATTTTCATACTGTAATATGAAGGTTATTTTTTCATATTGTCTACTAGCCAAGCCCATCACACACATGCACACAAACGCGCACACACACCCGTGTGTATATATATATATATATATATAGATACTGCTCCGAAGACCCAAGAACTGGGTACAGAGCCTTGTTTACAATTGCCTCCCACTGAAGTATATAATATATATACGTAAAGAAAATAGAGGAAGTAGCCTCTACATATTTTGCTGGAACAAGTATGGGCATAGCTTATATGCATTCTTCTTCTTCTTCTTCTTTTTACTTTGTTGGGCGAGAGTATGGGTGGTGCTGGCTAATGTACGCAAAAACAAGCACAAAAAAGCTGCAAGGAGATAAGCAACCATGACATTTGACTTTGTTGTCCATGGCCAGTTGCTAATTAAGTTTTATAATGCGACAAGGATAATGATCAACAAATATATAAACTACTCATTCCCAAAAAGATAGGGCATTTTATGACCAGGGACCAAAGTTCGTAGAATGGTTTTGCAATAGTGTTGACCTGGGAAATTACATTTGGAAGACGGGCGGGATCATCATGGCTTGTGAAATATAAATATGATTATAATCATAGTGCATTAGTCCTAATAGTGAATCCCGACATGTTGGTTTTTTTAGTTAGTGTTGGGAAATATATCCTAGCAAACAAACACTATAACCAACAATTCCTAAACCACTTGATTTCCTTTTTCCACAAAACAATATAACAACCGCAATAGTTTCTGAACAGTATGCTCTTACATGTTAGGTCAAAATTTAAACCCACCGGACGCCACCATCATTATATATAAATATTTGTTGTGTGATTGTAACACTCCAACCAAGGACCTAATTGGTTGATAATATTTCCATCATTAATTTACATTCGAAATGCAATGAATCATTATACCAAAATTGGGTATTGCATGCAGTTTTTTTGGCTTGTAGAGACGTTTATAATTGCCTTTACAAAGTCTAGTGGCGGTTTTTTCAACTGCCTCAAAGCTATCCGCAATGTCGCTGTCTCTACATCGTAGGAGTGGTTTTTCCAACAATCGAAGAATTTTGGGGCAGTTATTTAGAGGCGGTTCTAACCACCTCTAAATAATTTTTTTTAGGCGATTAGAAAATATCAATTATATCCTACTTTATTTTTAATACAACATATATATAGCAATTGATAACCACCTCTAAGTTCTCAAGAATTTTTATATTTTAATAAGAAATCATTGAGGATGGGTAAAAACACCTCTAACTTTAGAGTTCATTGAGATATAGTTGTGTTACCACCTCTAATGTTTCAATTGGTTTTATTTAACCTCCAAATTTAATAATTAACTCAAAACAAAAAAATTACATATTGCTAAATGCAAATAAATTATTAAACTTAAATATTGAGTACTTGTTCAAAACGGGTAAATAAAAAGTTCCTAATATATCTTAAAATAAGTAGTTAATGTTCATAAAAAGCAACTCACACTAACATTGCTACTGGATAAATAATCAGCATCATAAGGGCTGTATGGAGAACCTAAGGAACGTAGCACAGATGATGATGATGCTCTAGCCTTTGCAGCTGCTTTAATAGCCTCACTAGAATCTAATTTTGCAAGTTTCCATGCACTGATTCGAACTGGACATTGTGGTAACGTTTCGGCTTCTTAGGTGTAGATGGAATTGTTGCTTAAATCTCCAACACCACGTTGTGCCCAGCATAAGCAAAAGCCACATCACCCAATGCACTGAAGAAATCAAATAACTGCTCCTGCCTTTCTATGAGCTTTATATCATATTGTACATCTGGATTGTCAAATAGCAGTCAACATAGCTATCGTAGAATAACTACAATGAAAATGTAAATCAATTTTAGTGCAAATGAAGTTCATAAATTTGCTGATGCCAATGTGTTTTCATAAGACCTAGAATGTTTATATATATATATATATATATATATATATAAAGAAAGAAAAAAAAACGGTGGAAATCTTATGTGAAGGTCTAAAAGTGTAGATTACCTCTAGGACATGACAGCAGCTGCCAAAGAGACACCAGAGATAAGTTGCTGCAGTACGACAATGTAGAGGCCAAGCTTTTCACCAAAAGCAAGTTGACCAAGTTCATGATATCTATCAAATCACTTTCCTGGCACCATTTCATGCATCTCAACCATTTTCCATAGGGTGTATAGTGTGATGATTCATGATAGGATTAGCACAGCCACACCAGGACCCCTGAAAATAACAAATAGAACACTAATTTAATAAAAAGGCATCACAGTTGGGAACACTTCTTCCTTTCCTTTAAAAACACTTGCTGTTGATTGCTGAACATACCATCAATCAGACAAGGGTAACGATCCAATGTAATATTATGGGTTTTTGTTGCTGAACGTTAATTTGATTTACTGTGTGTTGGTGTGATTATTCTGGAAATTAGATGAGGGTAATGATCCAATGTAATATTATGCACACTGTAATGAACAAAACCAGTAATGGATGATCATTCTCTAGGATGATAGCTGGAAGCATGGCCATCAATCAGACATAAATTTGAAACCCAAAATAACTACTCGTACTTAAATAGCGAACGTCAAAGAAATGGATTGTCAATGAAACTCAGACACACAAGAATTGATAACATAGAAAGTAAACGGTAATAAACAGTAGAAACAGCTGACTGATACCACCATCTGATCCACGTATCCCTTGAGTTTGTTCACTCTTAAAGACGCTATAAAGAACCGAAACTGCTCTTGCCTTATAGAGTAATCTACATCAAACACAACACCATGACCAAAAGTAGGCACATTGAACTGATACACCTCCTGCTGGCTCAAATCTACTTCTAAAGCATTGAAGAAGTGCGTAGACACCTCAGGGCCAATCAAGAAAGTAATCTTCCTATTAACTAAATTCATTGTAAACACACTGCCAAGTTTTTGGTGCTCTTCGCGAAGCATCACAATGGGTCCTTTAAGGAACCGCATGAGCCCTCCAACCAAAGGCTATCCCTTCATAATAGGAGGCAAGCGCTTTTGAGATCTCGGCATTATAAGTGCAAAGATAAGCTTGGCCATTAGGAGAGTGGCCACAATGAGTAGACCCACATTGAACAACTTGTTATTTGTATCTCCAGTTTTTGTAAAGTTACCAGATTTATAATTTGATTTAATTGATTGAAAATCCAAACAAGAAACTGATACGGTGCATTTTGGGGCTTAAGTCATACGAAGCGTTTTAACAAGGCTATTTTAGCCAAGCTGGAGGAGTTTGTTAGAGGAGTCCGTTATAACCAATAAACCACAAGCAAGGATATTGGAAAGCAGTTGCAGCAATCATTTTTCTCTTTCTATTTTGCATTTGTTGTGTTTCGTTAGTATTTTCTTTTATCATAGATAGACTATAAATATGTATTGGGATTTTTCTTGGGGGTTATGATAAAAAAATTACGAAATTACTTTCTCTTTTCTCTCCCAACTTCGGATCTCTCTACTCGCTCCGCTCTCTATTGCAATCTTTATTCTTCTTCTATTAGTCCGCATCATTTGGTATCGAGCACTCGCTCCTTGGACAATGGCGGAAGGAACCCGTCTTCAAGAGCTCCGGCGAGAGCTCACTTCTCCGGTGGAGGAAGTTGAACAATGCCAAGAGAACGGACTCAACAAATCCATAGATGAACTCAAATCCTTGATTGGAGGACTCGGTGTTCAATATAGAGAAATGTTATCTTCCAAGAATACCGAAGGAACCTCGACAATCCGATCAAAGAGATGTTGGAGACAAAAGAAACACTCATTTCTCTTATGGCTCATCCCACAAACTTGAGTTCTCGAAATTTGACGGTGAAGATTTTCGAGGATGGGTTATGAAAGCTGAATGTCATTTTGAAGTAAAAGATATTCCACCTCACATGAAGGTGAAAGTGGCCGCCTCTCAACTAAGTGGAAAGGCCCTACAATGGCACCAAGGGTATGTCAAGCTTCATGGATTAGCTACGTATGAGGACCGGGAATTATATATACGAGCATGGGACCTCATTTTAGGGCTCCAGTACATGATGACCCTTTAGCTAACGTGAGAAACCCGAGACAAACAGGTACCTTACAAGACTATATTCATGAGTTTGATGTGATTTATCCCCGAGCTAAGATCCGGGAAGCTCAAGTCGTGAGTTTCTTCATTTTTGTTCTTGTTATTGCCCTCCAAATGCCTATAAGAATGTTCAAACCAGCTTCATTAGCTAAAGCCTATTCCTTATCTCGGTTACAAGAGCTCACCATACAGTGCTATTCAAAATCCCTCCAATCCAATATCCATTTCCTTATTTTCCAAATTCTCAAAACCATTCCCACCAACACTAACTTTACTCGAGAAGGCTAGTAAACAAACAATCACATTCTCTCAAAACATTGGTATCTTGCATACACCAAATATACCAAGACACACGGACCAAGCTAGACCTTACATTGCCTCATAGAACAACCTTAAGTCCTTGACCAGCAGAAACCTTAATGAAAGAAGAGCTAAGGGCTTATGTTTTTGGTGCGATGAAAGGTTCACACCGAGGCACAAATGTAAGAAACGACAAGTTTTTAGGTTACAATTTCAAGTTGATACAAATAGTTGATACAAATGGGGAAGAAGTTGAAGAGGAGGTTTTTTAAGACCGCCCTATGGGTGACAACTTCCAAATGTCCCTTCATGCTTTGTGTGGGAAAAAAAGGGAGAGAACAATGAGGTTAGAAAGGTTACTATAGCAAGAATCGCTTGCACATTTTGATGGATTCGGGTAGTACTCATAATTTTATTAGTATTGTTGTTGCCCATAAATTAAAGTGTGAAGTGCAACAAGTTGAGGCAGATGATTGTGACGGTTGTAAATGGTCATTCCATTAGGTGTGATGCCATGATCCCCGAGTTTAAATGGAAGATGCAGAGTCGGGTGTTTTCGGTAGAGGTTTTCTTACTACTCTTGGATCGTTATGATCCGATTTTAGGAGTGCAATGGCTCTCTTCATTGGGAGACATCTTGTGGAATTTTATCGAGCTCGAATGGTTTTTTGTATAGACCAGATAACCTTGTTGTTTAGAGGGAAGACAAGAGGGATCTCGTCAAGCTTATGAGTAACCATAGGTTAGAAAAAATACTCACTCACCCTTCGAAATAGCTACCCAACACTTTCTAATTACACCGAGCACTTTATGCTATAATTGAAAGCAACTCCCAACCAGAACAATCATGGCCCTAACTACAAAACCTACTCAAACAATACTCTAAAGTTTTTGATGAGACTATTACCCTACCTCCACACCATGATCATGACCATAGAATTGAGCTCAAAGAGGGAACCAATCCCATAAACATAAGACCATATAGATATGCTAATCTTCGAAGGATGAAATTGAGAAAATGACCAAGGAGATGTTGGAGGCTGGTATCATACAACATAGCAAAAGCCTCGTTTGCAAGCCCCGTAGTTTTGGTTAAAAAGAAAGATGGGTCATGGCGTATTTGTGTGGATTATCGAGCTCCGAATCATGCCACCATTAAGAGCAAATTTCACATTTCGGTCATCGAAGAATTATTGAAGGAGTTGGGAGGTTCAACGGTGTTTTCCAAGATAGACCTACGGTCAAGTTATTGGCAAATTAGAATGGATCCAAGAGATGTTCATAAGATCGCTTTCGGAACTCATGAGGGCCATTATGAGTTCTTTATTATGCCTTTCGATCTCACTAATGCGCCTTCTACATTTCAACACTTGATGAATAGTGTTTTTCGATCATTTTTATGAAAGTTTGTCCTTGTGTTTTTTGATGACATTCTTGTCTATAGCAAGACTAAAGAAGATCATCTTCTTCATTTCGCTAAAGTTCTCAAAACCCTTCAAGATCACTAGCTTTTTTCCAAGATGAAGAAGTGCTACTTTGGGTGCTCATGCATTGAATATCCGGGACATATTATCACCAATGAAGGGGTTATGACGGACCTCGAAAAAATTATAGCCATTCAAGATTGATCACTTCCAAAAACCATCAAACAGTTGAGAGGTTTCTTAGGACTCACGGATACTACGGAGGTTTGTTACATATGGAAAGATAGCCCATCCACTTATAGACTTGCTAAAAAAAATGCATTCTCTTCGAATTCAGCAGCTCAAGAATCCTTTGAGAAACTCCAACGAGCTATGACCACCACTTCCGTCCTTGCCTTACCCGACTTTCAAGAGACATTTGTGATTGAAATCAATGCTTCGGGGGATGGTATTGGAGTTGTTCTTATGCAAAAGGGGCACCCTATTGCTTTCATCGATAAAGCATTAACTCTAAAACATTAATTGCTTTCCATCAATGAAAAGGAGATGAAGGCGATATTGTTTGCAATCAAGAAATGGGAGGCATACATCACCGATCGTCACTTTGTTATTAAAACAAACAACCAAAGTCCGAAGCACCTATTAGAGCAACGAGTTACTACACCTTCTCGACGGACGTGGGCTACCAAACTTATGCAATTTGACTATGAAATTCAGTTCAAGCAAGGGAAGAGTAACATTGCTGCCGATGCTTTATCTAGGAGATCACCGTTAGAGTGTCACGCTCTAATATCGACTACTATCCCTTCACATTTCTTAGAGAAAATCGGAAAAACATGGGAGAATGATGAAGTATTGCGGGGAATTATTAAAGCCAAACTTTAGGATAGCTAACAATTTCTTAAATATTCTTGGCGAAGAACAAGTTAAGACGAAAGGGCAAGCTAGTGATAGGGACTAATCCACCACTCACACGGTAGTTATTGAACTTCTTTCATTCCTTATCTCTAGGTGGACACTCGGAGTTCATGCTACTACACATAAGTTGATTTCCTTAGTCTATTGGAAGGGACTTAGAAGATATGTTTGTGAATTTATTCGGAATTGTAACACTTACCGAGCATTACAAACCCGAGAATGTAGCCTACCTGTGGTCGCTACAACCTCTGCCCATACCCGAGGAAGTATTCACGGATATCATAATGGATTTTATCGATAACCTTCCCAAGTCTCATGGGAAGACTGCTATTATGGTAGTGGTAGATTGTCTTACCAAATATGGGCACTTCATGGCTTTTTTCCATCCTTATATTGCTAAAAATGAGGTGCAACTTTTTTGGACTCGGTCTACAAGTTATATGATCTCCCTCGGACTATTACTTCGACGGAGATCTTATTTTTGTTAGTAATTTTTGGCAAAAGTCGTTCACTCTTCAAGGGGTCACTCTTCAACTTTCATTTGTTTACCACCCTCGGACAAATGGCCAAACGGAGGTCGTTAATCATTGCATTGAGAGTTATCTTTGATGTATGATTGGGGATATGCCACACCGATGGGTCAAGTGGCTTCTATTAGTCGAATTCTAGTATAACACTTCCTATCATAGTTCTATCAAGATGACACCATTTGAGGCTCGTATGGATATTCGCCCATTTTACTTTTACCTTACTATGCTAGGGATTCCAAGAATGCAGTATGTTGATAACACTTTTTAAGAAAGGGAAAACATTAATCGGCTTCTTAAAACAAGGTTATAGGTTGCTCGAGCATCGTATGTAACGAGTTGGCTAACAAGAAGAGGTCCGAATGGGTGTTCCAAATTGGGGATCAAGTGTTACCGAAGTTGCGGCCTTATAGACGATAGACAGTTCATCGGGGTAATGCGAAGCTACAACCCGGATTTTATGGGCCTTTCAAGGTGGTGGATAAAATTGGTGCGATTGCTTATAGGTTGCACTTACTCGTCGGATGCTCAAATCCATGATGTCTTTCATGTATCCCAACTCGGACCCTTCCGTACATCTATTCAATTTACTCTAGTGCTCCCTTCATTCCAAACTTTGCCCCCACAACCAAATGCTATCATTGATCGACGATTCGTGAAGAGGAGAAATGTTGCAGACAACTCGGTGGCTCATTCACCGAAAAGATTTGTCTCATGCAAAAACAACTTGGGAATGGATTGATGAAATTCAAACTCGCTTTCTAACATTCCTTGAGGATAAGGAAATTGAAAGCGAGAGGGTATTGATACGATGCATTTTAAGGCTTGAGTCATACGGAGCATTTTAACAAGGCTATTTTAGCTAGGCATGAGGAGTTTGTTAGAGGAGTCCGTTATAACCAATAAACCACAACGAGGATATTGGAGAGCAGCTATAAGCAACCATTTTTCTCTTTCTATTTTGCATTTCGTTGTTTTTCTCGTTAGTATTTTCTTTATCATAACTAGACTATAAATATGTATTGGGATTTTCCTTGGGGGTTATGATAAAAAAATTACAAAAATTAATTTCTCTTTTCTCTCCCAAATTCGGATCTCTCTGCTTCGCTTCGCTCTCCGTTGCAATCTTTATTCTTCTTCTATTAGTCCACATTAGAAACGAAACATCAAATAAAAAATACGCACATCGCATAAAATAGCTTAAACCTAATGTTTTTCAAAAAGTTAAATTAAAAGCGAGATCTAAAGGTTCCAACTTTAGTTAACATTGAAATCAAATAACGAAGGGAAATTCCCAAAATCGAGTCATTTCACGGTACCAATCTACTCGCTTTGTTAGGTAGCCGAGAAACCAATAAAGAAAAGGAAAGAACTTTGAAAAGCAAAGCTTAAAAAAATTAGAGTGTCCCAAACCGAACATAATTTTACCCTCGTCTAAAATAACCAAAACCCATAAATCTAAAATCACACCAACACACAGTAGATCAAAAGGAGTAAAAGCCCAATAAAGACTTGTCGTTATTTATAGGTTTAATTAATTAATTGATAAAAACGACAATGAATTGGAAACCCTACATGCCAAATTGAAAGAAACATTACCGGGAAGAGATATGGGTTGAGGAGGGTGAGAATGGGTAAGGAGAGCAATGACGGTAGATTTATGGGGGTGGGTGGATCTAGGTTCGTTTTTGGTGTACGGGAAATTAGAAACAATAATGGGTAGTTTTTTCAAAAGAAGAAGGTAAAGAGGAAGAATAATGGTTGCTTCTTTTAAGAACCTAAAATAGAAAGATGAAAAGAAAAAAAAAAAGAGCGAGCGCCTTGGCTTAAAAAGTGAGGTGCGGTTGTTTTATCAACCGCCCCACATTTTCTTTTGTTATAACATAGGCACGTTAAAAAGTATTAAATTTTGGGGCGGTTTTCTTGACCGCCCCAAACATTTTGCCCATACAGACCTTTTTTTGGTTTAGTGAATACAAGCTAACAAGGTATTGTGACTTATTCATGATACTTCTAGGCATAGAATATGATGTGGAAGCCTTATAAATGACGATCGGGTTCTACGTTTTAGTTCAAAATGTACTATAAAATTTTCACATTTGATTATTTTGTTTAAATTATTTAGACTAAAAGAATTAGATTTGTTACACTCGATTTACTCAAATTCTTTTTTCGTTAACTTATATAAATTAATTTAGTTATGATCCATTACTCAA